TGTACAGTACACTTCCACCATACAGTGATTCTAAACTCCAAAGTAAAATGTTCAAGCATAATATGAAGGTTTTGGCCTTTTACTTAGATATCATTGTTTCAGTGTTTATTTTCAAACTTAAAATGCAAATTTATGTATTTAAAACCAATGGCAATCAATGACCGTGTCAACCTTTTGATAGTACTTAAAGCTCGACTTAAAGTAAGTGAAAGGAATATTTGCAATTGATCGACGTGTGTAGATCGGTGTGTACAATGTGCTTCTATAAATAGTGGTCATTGACGTATTATAGTAGTATTGTGGAAGCGTGAGATTTTTGAGCGTGGTAATTTCTTAAAAAGCTTGTTGGAAAAGATACCCACTGATTACAATATACTTAATTACTTTAGAAATTGTAATACCCAGAGAGTCTCTGGTAATAGGTACCTACCACCAGACCTCGCCTACTAGGTATGTACATATATGGTTCCAAAAATCATAAATGGAACCATAGCTGTCGTTAGGGTTCTGAACGCAATGGCTAAATGAAAACCATCGTTCTAAAATTTACATGTGGAAAAGTTTCCATTGGTGTTACTCCAATTTCTTATATCAATGTTCACGCAATCTAATTCTAAACAAGATTGTATGAGTGTATTATCCGATATTCCGAATAGGGCGATATAGTTTATGAAATCAGAATCAAACAAAATCTCGATAATGTCGGTCTGTACTCTCATTTTCGGCTAAACGGTTGAACCGAGGGTTGAACCGATTGGAACAAAATTGGAACATATTCCTCGACATAAAAGAAGGGCATTTGGGCAGAATCGCCTATGCGCAAGTGATTCAAACTCTGATTTCTGGCTAAACGGCTGAAGTAGCCACGGCGAATTTTTCCAAATGGAACATTGTAAGCTCCCCTTACATTACGACTTTTTTGCGCAAGTTAACGTGAAGTTATTGTGCATTTTTGCAAAAATGAGTTATGAAGTAACTACTTATTCGAGCCAAAAAATGATTAAACAATTTTTGAGCTTGTGGTGGTTTGAACATCTCGTCAAGTGATTGTAACAAACAAGGGATACAGTATAATTTGTGCAAATGGTTAGCGATCGATGTAGATAGTCAATCGAAATTCTTGCTGGTGCATGACCTATAACGAAATACAATTCGAAAAAAGCACGAAGTAGGATGTGCACTATTGATATTACGTGTGTATATCTGCACTATTAAACCAAACAAAAAAGTCAGTGCTCTTCTATCCTTGACGACTGATCTTCTCAAATAATAGTTTTAATTGAAACGCACTTAGTTATTTTTTTCATTACCAACGTTAAATTTTCGACATTTAATGTCACACCTAGAAGCACAACATTTTTTGGTGTTTCTGCTTTCTACTTTTTAGATTAAAACTTTCACTAAAAAAGATTTTTCGCATTTTTTGTTAATAAATTTTAGCACGTCACCAAATGGGACCAATAGCGTGTGTGCATATCAATGATTGCACTGTACTTCTATTGCATTTAAAAATATACATAAATTTTGATTACGCAAGCCGATCAAATAGTGATGCTGATGAACAACGTCTTTTTGTATCGAAGTGGCGTTGAACGAGCTTTAAACCCTCCTTGTATAATAGAAAACGGAAATTGCTATATCCGCTGTGGCTCATATAAAAGGAGATTTGATGACCTTGTTGGCCACAATTTTAAACTGTAGTACCAAGCGCCGCATGTTTAGAAAAAAATCCACCTTTACATAATTAAGAAAAATGCAAAATTAGGTTGAAGGGTTAGTGTCTTATTTTCTTCTTCTTCTTTTTCTCACTTCCTCTGTGCGTAGGTACATCCAAAAATATTTTTTGTTTTTAAGAAATCGCCTTCCAGATTCTTTACACGTAACTCTGCAAACCCAACCAAAGGACAGGTAAAGCAAATGCTGGATTCAGTACCTGGCATTCAGTAAAATGCGCTTCGGATTTGAGTTTGTTGTTTGTTTGGTGACCACATTTTCAGCATAAGATATTGAGTAGGTAATAAATAAATAAAAAATAATAAGCATGTACTGCTAGGTCCTAAAGTTAGTAACGGCTTCCCAAGCAACACAGTTCTGTATATGTCCATCGCGTTTATAGTAGACTAAACTCCTACGTTTAAAAAACGTAATCATATACTAGTATATGGTACGCATAAATGTAAGATATTATTGCTATATTCTTGTAGAATATTATTGCGTTTATTATTCCCATTTATATACGATTTATATGCGTTTACTGAATACGTTTAAATTTCGCATACGGAATACGTAGTAATATCCGCATTATTCGTATTAAACTCGTCGATAATGTGCTGCTAATAAACGTATATAATAAAGGCAATAGATGCGCTTTGTAGATTGTTTATTTTTAAATCAAATCAAAGGTCTGAATTATATAAAGAGCATAATAATTACAAAAGTCCATCACATATATTCAGGGTCCGTTTTCTTCTTTGCCTATTTGTAAACCTGGGTATTCTTCCCTCCTTGGCGCTGCTAACGGTCCACAGTATCCATACGGAGGCGATGTAAAGTTTGCAGGCTCTGTAACGTGCAAGAAGCTTCGGTTCCAATTCGTCCCGTCTTTGCATAAATATAAGAGGCGCCTGCTGACGTCGAAGAAGCGTCCATCTGCAGGATCAAAAAAATACAAGTTTAAACTTGGATTGATTGAAAGTAGTATTATGGTTACTTTGAAATTGTAGGCGTTTTCACGTTCAAGAAGCGTCGTTTTCAATTCTTGTCGTCTTCGCATTCATACGAGGTGCCGTTTGGCGTCGTAGAAGCGTCCCTTTGCCGGACCAAAAAAAGACAAGTTTAAACTACGATCTATTAAAAGTAGCTGTAGCCAAGTTTCCTGCGTGGACGATGCAGGTTCCTGACCAAAATAGGGCTGCTTTACCACGCCCAAATGAAAATGAATATTAGAAAACATCATTTCTATTATTGTCAACTTACCAAATACCGCAACGTTTTTGGATCAAGGAATAAACTTAATTATCACATAACTCATAAGCAAATGCGTACGTGAGTGTAAAGGAATGTGCAGAACAAACAGTTTTATAATGTCTATAGACATAAATTTAGGCATAAAATTGTCGTATATAATACGAAGGAATGCGATCGTACAAAATACGTATTCCTTACACCAATCTCAATATTCCAGTAGGTATATGGTAAATGAAAAACGTATTAAATATGTTTGTCAGATTAACACTAAAAAACGTTTATTTATCTACTTATTTTCAACGTTTCTTATACCAGCTTCGTTAGATTATGACATAAATAATACGAAATTTTGATACATAGAATGTGCCTAATTTTTATTCGTATTTGGGAGGAAGTAAATATACCAATATTCCAACATGGTAAATCAAAGTGGTATTATATACGTTTATCCAATTATTGTTAAAAGAACGTTTATTTATATACATATTATCAACGTAGAACGTGAACCCTATTGCTTACATATAGGTACGAACAAAAATCGTATTTTAAACGTAGGGAATAAAATTGGCCTACAAAAAAAACGTAGACCATACTACCAATACCGAATTCATCCTTAGCGCTTTAAATCCGTTTATTAAACGTAAGTGTGTTGACTGTGTAGTTACATTTACAGGGGTAAATGGGGAAGACCTCACTTGTTTATATAAAATAAAATTGAACCTCTACAGCACTGGCAAAAAATTCTAATATGACAATTAATTTTTATTTGCCCACGCCTCGCTCAATATTCAAGCCCATTGAGGAAGTTTGGCACTTTTTCTCTGAAAACCTGAAATTCAATATCTAATTTGATTGTTTGATTGAACTCGAATAAATGTTTATGTGAACTCAATTGATTGAATATATTAAGGAAAACAAAGGCAATTAAATCTAGTCTTGACTTAAAATATCGCGGTGGTTTGATGGTTCATAAAAAGAAATCCAAAAGAAATGCATTACCTATCTATTTATGACAAAATAAATTACTGGTACATTCCTGTTCAAAATAATCACGCATGGTATATTAAATGCAGTTTTCCAATCAATGAAACAAAATATCCCAAAAGTTTGGAGAGAGAAAAATTCGTATAAATCGCGAATACAAGGAAGGGAAAACTCAAGATCGTGATTATCCAAAGGAATAAAGTGCCAATGCCAGTGGCGTATTTCCACTTTTCCAAAGGACACAATTCATCTTTAAATTCGCATTATTAACAGATTAACTATTTTGAAATCTAGGTACCTTTGGTATTTCATTTATCTGAATTCAAGTAAAGTTAAACGTTATTTTTTTGGTATAGGTGTCTGATTGCTTTTTCCATTCCCCACTGCCATTTTTAGACGATATGAACGCATTTTTTAGGAAAACAACAAAAGAAGCTACAATCATTTCATTCAAAAAATATCGAACTTTATTTCCTAATTGCATGATGCTTAGAATTAATGCCGGCTGTTTCGGATTGCACCACCATGGGAACACACTCTCTAATTCGAGCTCTAATTGCAATATTAACCTTATTCACTACACTCATGATACATTTTTGCAATAATTAATATAGAAAGTTAATAACAGAGTAAGTAGGTACATCTTTCATGATCCCATCTGTTTCTGCATAAAACCAACTTTCACAGTTGAGTTTTTTGCAATTGCCATTTACTGCAAAGTTAATAAGTTATGCAAAACGTTGATATACAACTCGATACTATTATCTAAATTATAGGTTATCGTTTCTTTATCAGAAGAATGTTTCCTAACGAAACCTATCTTCTGGCACTACAATTTTCCTCAGATGTTCAGCGGCCTTCGATCGATTTAGAAATTTATCAAAGCAAATAACATTTAAGTAGACCATAAAACAACGCTTCACTTTTATTTGTCAGTTACTATCTTAAGTTCACACTGCGCTGATAACAAAAAATAAAGCCCGCGACACACAACGCCCCGAACGGCGATTTTTTGCGCAGTTTTACTTGAACGCACTTTTTTCTTTCAGACCACCGGACGAATATCTATACGATGTGGAAAGTTTCGATGATGGATCTGACGAAACGAGCACGACATTTCGAAAACCAAGACGTCATCTGTGGTCGAATAAGATACAGTTTGTGTTGGCCTGCGTTGGTTACAGCGTTGGATTAGGATCTGTGTGGCGGTTCCCTTATCTATGTTACCAAAGTGGAGGAGGTATGTATTTTGCGGATATTTTAAAAACTTTTCAATTCGAGCGCGACCTTTAAGATGTAAAATGTTGACGCCAGACAACTCATAAATTTCACATTATCTTGAAACTATACTAATTAATTTAACATGCAAATGTATTTAAGACTGCCTGAACTGAAACGGGGTCGCTTAAAAATACAGACACGGCGATCCGGAAACTATTTATCATAATATTTTATTGCTAGTATATGAAGAAAGATTCATCACTTAACAACAACTAGGTACTATAAAAGAAAAGTATCAGTTTTCTTCAAAGTTACTAAGAGAGAGAAAGGGCACGTTCCCAGTCAATGGTCCGAACATTCCGCATTTTCGTTCAAGTAACCTCCATTTGTCAAAACGAACACCAACATACCAACCTGATTCCGAGTTCTTTGGAAACGACGTCCTGTAGTCACCAGTGACATTTTTCTTGATTTGATAATTCTTCTGGCCACGAAAACTTCCAGTGTCCATATACTTGGCTCTGAGAACCATGGAAACCCCAATACGCTGTCCTGCATACTACGTTAGAAATTTATTCTTGTTTTGAGTGACTTTCAGTTATCACAACGATCATTGGTATGCATATTCAAACATCTGAATCCTCGAACACCACGGAGGCGGCACCCCATGGACGTTGTATTTTCGAATTTGATTCATTTAATCTTGGATGTATTTTATGGGATCCCGCGAGGTCCTTACCTCTCAATTTTAGGACAAAGTTGGCAACCAGTTTTGCTCCCCAATCGTCGCCATTTTGATAAATCTATGACTTCATCGATAGCAATTTCTATATACTAATCGACGACGCGATTTTGAATTTTTCTCAAAACCCAACAAGAAAAAATATACAAATTTGACATCACTTCAAATGTAGCACTTGTGGTAATGCGGCACCAGTTCGTTAAAAGGCACGAGGGACCAAATGTCTCACCCAAGGAAACTTACACAAAGTAATTTCGATCGGGGATTATCTTATAACCCAAACCCGGTACGTTTACCGACAGTTCGATGATTGTTAACTGATAATATTTATTGTAAGCGCTTACATGCTATTTATATCACAGATTTACTTCCTAATCTACGTCAATTATATTAGTATGCAGGAAATGCTGATACGTCAACCTTGCCAACAATGTGCTTAGTGTTGTTTTACTAGCTCTGCATTATACTTCCTGAGAGTAAAGTAGTATACACATTTCATTATTCTGCATTTTCTTGTTATTCTAAATAAACAATCATCATCTTGTGGGAATTCTAACAATGAAACAAAAAAATTCTCCGCTTGATATTTCAAAACGTTTTCAAGCTCCTTTATCTAAATTCTTTTAATGAACTTAAGCTATTGATGGAAGAGATGGTTCTCGTTCTATGCATAGCCTTCAGCATGGACCACCAAAGTTGCAATAATGTGATATAGATACGTATTCGAGATTGAGATATGATGACCAGTTGCCAATCACCTATAAGTAAACATGAAACAAATTATACTATCTCTGGTTTATAAACACCAAAACGCAAGTCATTCATTTAAAAGTTTATTTGGCAATTCGTGAGCTAAATTACATTCTGCGTGAGTAATTTGTATGATGGTGGGATTTTAAAAGTAACCGTAGATAATTTGAAATTTTTTAACGACACAAACACTTCCTAAAAAACTTTGATGAATCAGTCGCCGACCGGAAAAAAACTATTTAACCATTATAATTTAAATGACTATTAACACGCTACTTTGTTAATCTAAAGTTGTACACATATTATTGTTTGATATTTTTTTTTCCTGGGAAGGGAATGGAACTGTGCGAATTTTATTCGAATTAGAGAAGTACCATTGAATAAAAACACTATAAGAAGCCTAACCCCGTGGAAATAAAGCGCGACAGAGATTGAACTGAGAATATAATGTGAAACACTGTCAATAGTGTCGATTCTTGAACTGAGAAGAATCAAGAATGAGAATTTGCTTTCCTCCTATTTACCGCAAAGAGAGTTCGGGGATCACAACCAATGCGGGTGCAAGGGGATTTGTCGCGCTTTCTTCCATAAGCGTTAGGCTTCTTATAGTGTTTTTATTCAATGGAAGTACCTAATTATTTTAATTCGATTTCATTTCAATGGACTAAATCATTTTATTACATTTTTAGTAAACGCTAATGTAACTTTGTTTATTAATTTTTTATGCTCGAGGTATATACTAAAAGTAAAATGCAAATATGGGATCCAAAAAATAGATACCGAATATTTTTGAAGGTTTCTTCTGAGAACAATGTTTCAGAAAAGCAGAACGCGCATCACCAGGTGAAGTTCCAAATTTGTATACACAAATTTCCCACCCCCTCTCCAATTTTTGTTCTTTAGTCTAATTCTAGTCCAACAGTGACGCCTCTTTATTTAGAAATCGAATTTCTTTACCACACATATCTAGAAAGAAACTACTTCAATTACATCAATGCAAAAATTGCAAAATTTGTTCAGGTGTTCAGCACACTTTTTCCTTTATTACCATTGCGATATTTACAAGCAGGGCGTGAGCCGCTAATTATGCCAATTCTTGCTCAAATATTGACACGAGCACAAATTCCTACATTTTTTGACGCAGATAGGAACGAATTGCTAATTTCCTTGAACAAACATCATCTTTGCTTTTCATTTACAGTTCAATAATTATTGTAAACATTCTGATGTGAATTAATTGTTGCAGGTGTATTCTTAATTCCCTACGTAATTATAATGGTAATATGTGGAGTACCACTACTATATTTGGAATTAGCTGTTGGTCAATTTACAGGTCGGGGTCCTATAGGAGCACTCGGACAGCTTTGTCCTTTATTCAAAGGTGAGTGCATCCGTCATTTGAAACGAGTTACACATTTTTGTTTCAGGAGCTGGTTTGGCAAGTGTTGTAATCTCGTTTTTAATGTCGACCTACTACAGTGTCATTATCGCCTACTCAATATACTATTTTTTCACCGCGTTTAAACCAACCCTGCCCTGGGAAGAATGCTCAAGTTTGTGGAACCTTCAAGATTGCTGGATTCCCGCGAAACTCAATCAGAACATAACGAAATCGCCTAACAGTCGTACACCTGCCGAGCTGTTTTTTGAGTAAGTGCGCTGCAACACTAGGGCGCGTTCAAATTGTTCATTCCAGCCGGAAGGTGTTACAAATAAGCAAAGGAATCGAGTATGTGGACTCGCTTCGCTGGGAACTGGTGGCATGTCTGCTCTGTGCGTGGTTCCTCGTATATTTTGCAATCTGGAAGAGCATAAAATCATCAGCAAAAGTTCGATACTTCACTGCCACATTGCCATTTATACTCATAATTGCGTTTCTGGTTAAATCGCTTACATTAGAGGGGGCTAACAAGGGAATGCAGTATTTCTTTCGACCCAAGTGGGAGTTGTTAGGTCAAGCTCAAGTGTGGGTCAACGCAGCTGCTCAAACGTTTAACTCGATGGGAATCGCGTTCGGCTCCATGATTTCATTTGCAAGTTACAACCGCTTCAGCAACAACATTTTGCACGACACGCTTGCCGTATCATTCGTTAACGCCGTTACAAGTTTGTTGGTCGGGATCTTTGCATTTGCCACCATTGGGAATATCGCAACCGAACAAAACACTTCAGTTGAGAACGTTATAGCCGATGGTAAGCACTGCAATTCATGATCTTCCCATTCACATTTTCTTGTAGGACCTGGACTCATATTCTATGTCTACCCTCAGATGATGGCCAAAATGCCCGCAGCGCGTATTTGGACTGCACTTTTCTTCTTTATGCTCCTATGTCTAGGACTGAACAGCCAATTTGCTATAGTCGAAGTAGTAGTCACCTCCATCCAAGATGGCTTTCCTGCAATGATCAAAAAGCGGCTTCTTTGTCATGAAATGTTAGTGCTGGTAGTATGCGTCGTGTCATTTCTCTGCGGATTACCAAACGTTACAAACGTAAGTTGTAACACATTCATTACAATATGCAATAGCAAACGTTCCAGGGTGGTATTTACTTCTTTCAACTCATTGACCACTATGCCGCCTCCATATCAATAATGTACCTGGCATTCTTCGAAATAATAGCTGTGGCGTGGGTGTACGGAGTGCGACGAATTTCAAAAAATGTAGAAAGTATGACGGGTCGAGCTCCGAGTCTCTACTTCAAATTTTGTTGGGTAATAGCGGCACCCTTGCTCATATTTGCGGTGTGGATCTTCTGCCTAATAGATTACGAGGCACCAACTTACAACAAAGGACAGTATCACTATCCTGTATGGGCCGTTGTATTAGGCTGGCTTATTTCCTCATTGTCAATTCTTTGCATTCCATTGTACGCAATATACATATTCGCCAAACAACGGGGGACGACCTTCTTAGACGTAAGTAGTTTATTTTGTTGTAACATCGCCTTACGCCTCATCTACAGAAACTGAGGCAGTCCATGCAGTCAAATTTGTATGAGTGCGAAAAATGCGGAGAACACTTCTGCGACCATCCCGATGAGATCCGTGGGCACGAGGTGCAACCGATGCTAGTACTGAAGAATTCCGAAAGACCAATCGGTAATGGAATACATTTTGATGCTATGAACTACTCGTCAGCGTCAAATACTCCACTAACACGCAGTCCAATTACCACACGAACTTTACACACACGACTTATGTTAAGTAAAAGCAAACCGGTAGATGTCTCAACCACTGTTCCCGCAAGCGATTGGACTGAAAGTGAAAAGGTAATTCCTAAGGACGATTCACCAAATCCGAGTAGTATAAGTAATGAAATCGATGATTGTGTGCCAAGTAGTAGTAATTCCGAAACCAAGTGAGATGGAGATTGATACCAGTTGTCAGTTTACCTACTTACTTGGTCCTCATGTGGTGATCAAATGTGATTTTAGTCTTGTATTACGATTATGCGTTGTGTTAGATCCAATTAAGCATTCCTGTAGTTTTAGGCAGTGTACATTGAAGTATTATTTATTGTTACATTAACAAATCAATAAGATCATTAAAGGCAATACTTGAATAATCATCTGTTCTCTTTTACCCAAAATCGCCATGAAACCTTCATTTTCCTGCCTACTTTCTGTCAGGAAATTTTAGTTTCCATGACAGAGGTACGTTCCACTTAACGCCCACAACGATCACGACCGCGACCGCGGTTTTGTCGTTCCACTAGCTTAGAGGCGTTGTGGGCGAACCCTTAAGTGGAACGCTTTTGGGTACGGTGTGACGTCACGCGTGAGTGAACAGTTTTCCAACATGGACGCCGTTGAGGAGATCGTAATGCGTAAAGGATAGAAAGTGGGGTGGATTATGAATTCAAAAGTCACATTAAGTTAGTAAAATTTTTTTTATTTTTCAGTACCAATTATTGACACATACTTCTTCGCTTTACACAAGATATGGCTTCTTGTTAATAAAATATTGAAGACGACTTTTGAATTTCTATCATTAATGTTGCGGCCATACTTAATACGATGATAATGAACACTTCTCCCCAGAATTTCTTCTGGGAATGCAGCTTTGAAAACAATTTCTCTTCTTCATTCAAAACAAACATGCATTTTCATTAATCGTTGCATTACCATTTATACGAGTCTCATTCGCATTCCCTGGTAAAGCACTTTGCAGCAAACTAGTTGCAAATCTAAGATCTGCAATAAAGAAAATTGTGTTAGAGCAGAATTTTCCTTAACAAATAACTTTAACATTCACGAATCAGCATATACTTACCCGTTTGTGCATGTAGAACATCCATAGTGATGTCCACCACAAGGTTACGTACTGAAACACGTAATTATATTTTCTCCATAGCGAAAACGAAAAATTTGTAACGCATGCGTGTTCAAACAATTAGTGTCTGACAGTTAAATGTCTCTAGAAATGTCTCCTGTCAAGAATGTAAGGTTATAAAATTAGAACGCCCACGCTGACCCAGGTACGATAGGCGAGCGCCGTGGGCTCGTTGCGGTCGCTAGTAATGACGTCATATCTGACGTCGCGATTGCGACCATAACGACTGTGGTCGTTATGTGGAACGGCAGCCGGGCGTCGTGGTCGTTGCGGGCGTTAAGTGGAACGTACCCTTCGAATCGATGTTTCCTTTATCGGCCGCATTTTTGACATTGCTAAATGTCTATAATGACGCATGTCATTACTGACAGATTGACATTAATCAAAATTTCTATATGAAAATTGAAATTTTATATTTAAATACGATTTCGGGTAAAATTTAATACAAAAACCGTCAGTAAAATGACATTACTTGACTCGGGAATTAAAGTACTCGGCCCCTCGCACTTCAATCTTTCCTCGCTAGTAATGTATCATAATCATTTTCTTGACATATATGTAAATAACTATTACTGGCCGTACCTGTCACTACCTTCCGCACCGTCACTTTACCGGCCGCACCTGTGACATTTATAAATTATGGATTAATGATGGGAAGCCGCCTAAACCAAGTAGTTCTGGAGCGAACTCATCATCGAATCAGGTTCAGAATATTACGTTGATAGTAAGTGGAAAGGAAAAAGGAAAAGGAAAATTGGAGCACGATGCAGAATGTGAAAACGATATTCAGGTTATCTAAAAGGTACTTTAGCTCTAGATATTAAATACGTTATAGCACAGTGTAAGGAATGTCTTTACACTATGGTCATAGTGACAACAATGGAGTTATCGAAGGGTACAGTGGAGATCTAAACACAAGATGCTGGACTACTGGCGTAGTATGCCTGTATGCTGGAGGTGCTGTGTCATGCTCATGGCTAAGTCAACGACAAAGTTCAGTTGTCATCTCAACTATACTGAAGTGGAGAGTATCGCAGCAAGAGAACTCAGGTGGCCTCAAAGAATATTCAGCGATATTTCAGAACTGAAGGACGTGCCGACGTTGAAAGTTGATAATGATAATGAACTGCCATTCGACTTGCCCATAATCCTGAGTTTCACAAAAGGACAAACCACATCACGGTTCATATAGAATAGACAGTTCAAAACACCTGACGCATATAGGACTGTACAAAAAATGTTGCTCGTACGCACGATGTGTTGTCTATCTTCCCGACATTTGCATAATTTTTGAAATCGCTAGATTATATAATTATTTCACAATTAAATTTACTGCAAAAGTAAGTACGGTAATTTGTGACATGATACCCAGACAACTGAACATACATTTGCTTCATACACCTAGATCAGGATCATTGAAGCACCGTGTACATTGTAGGCCACATTCCAGTGGACTTTGATCTGCTCCTTGGAGCAAAAAATATATATAAAATCTGTCATTATATTCTAACCTCATTCATTCCCGGTTGTTATAGTTGTTTTTTTTGAAAGGAAAGTTAAAGAAAAATATTCAACTTTGTGCTGTGTAAAATTAATTCAAAGTTAACACAATGGTTGTGCGTAGTTATAATGACGAACTTAAATATTTGGAAAAGATCAACGATTACTGCTGGAGGATTAAAATCGGCTTCCAGCCCAATATGAAGGTGGAAGGGTGTTTCTATGTTAATGCCGCATTGGAAAAGCTTATGTTGGATGAACTTCGTAATGCATGTAGGCCAGGGATGGCGGGTGGCTTTTTACCAGGAGTCAAACAAATTGCCAATGTCGCCGCACTACCAGGAATTGTTGGTAGATCTATTGGCTTGCCAGATGTGCATTCCGGATATGGTTTTGCCATTGGTAATATGGCAGCTTTCGACATGAATGATCCACAGTCGATAGTATCACCAGGTTAGTTTGAGTTTTAAATGTGATGGTGTAACATTGTGTAATATTGCAGGTGGAGTTGGCTTCGATATTAACTGTGGAGTTCGATTGTTGAGAACCAATTTGTGGGAGAAAGATGTACTGCCTGTAAAAGAACAACTGGCACAAAGTTTATTTGATCATATCCCCGTTGGGGTGGGATCAAAAGGTATAATCCCAATGAATGCGCGTGACTTGGAGGAAGCGCTTGAGATGGGTATGGACTGGTCTCTGCGTGAAGGGTATGTGTGGGCTGAGGACAAAGAACATTGCGAGGAGTATGGTAGAATGTTAAACGCAGATCCGGCGACTGTGAGTATGAGAGCTAAGAAACGTGGTTTACCTCAGGTCAGTTAGAAATTGCCTTTATTTCTTCTTAAAAATGATACTTCTAGTTAGGCACACTGGGCGCAGGCAACCACTATGCCGAAATTCAAGTGGTCGACGAAATTTATGACAAGTGGGCTGCAGGCAAAATGGGCATTGAAGAAAAGGGGCAAGTATGTGTAATGATTCATTCTGGAAGTCGAGGTTTCGGTCACCAAGTTGCAACTGATGCCCTTGTTCAGATGGAAAAGGCTATGAAACGTGATAACATTGAAACAAACGACCGGCAGTTGGCTTGTGCCCATATTCACTCTGAAGAAGGCCAAAACTACTTAAAATCAATGGCAGCAGCTGCCAATTTCGCATGGGTAAATCGTAGCTCTATGACCTTCCTGAGTCGCCAAGCCTTTGCCAAACAGTTCCAAATGTCCCCAGACGATCTTGATATGCACGTAATTTACGATGTATCTCATAATATAGCCAAAGTAGAAGAGCACCTTGTCGATGGCAAACCAAAAACCCTGCTGGTTCACAGAAAGGTATACAAAATATTAAAAATTCAACATCTACAGTCATTTTCATTAAGGGCTCCACACGGGCATTTCCCCCTGGTCACCCACTGATTCCAGTCGACTATCAACTAACAGGACAACCCGTGTTAATTGGTGGAACAATGGGAACATGCAGTTATGTTCTGACAGGAACAGAATCCGGAATGGAGCAGACTTTTGGTTCAACTTGTCACGGCGCTGTAAGTAAACTTCTTTTGTAATTGAATAATGCTGTTCTTTTTAAAGGGGCGTGCGTTATCGCGAGCCAAATCAAGGCGAAATTTGGATTACACTGAGGTTTTAAGAAAACTTGATGACATGGGTATATCAATACGAGTGGCATCTCCCAAACTGGTCATGGAAGAAGCACCTGAATCATACAAAAATGTAACTGATGTTGTAAATACCTGCCACGCTGCTGGAATTAGTAATAAGTGTATAAAATTAAGACCAATTGCTGTAATTAAAGGATAATTTCTTTAATTTATTGATAAATGTGTATATTTATGTATCACTATCAAAACTGTCATCACTCTCCACTTTTGTAAGGTCCAGTTCCAAAGTAACAGCATTAATATCCTTTGCACCTTTGAAGGTCGGCTGCTCAGGTTGTGTTTGGACAAGTTCTGAAGCTTGTGTTCCAATTGCTAAGCTTCGTAAATGTAACCATTCACCATCATTGCAGTCTAAGGCTAATTCGATCTTCGAGATTAGATCTCGTAAATAATTCAACCTCGCTAATATTTTTTGATCATAAGGCGTTTGGTTACTCATATTGATACAAAGAGTATATTTTATTTAATGTAATAGAAGAGCTTTATTATTTATTGGCACAGTCTTTGTTTGTATCTAGACTGTGTTTTTAGAGGTTATTAGTGTTTGATGATAAATCATTTCTGAGGTTATGTTTTACAAGCATGGGCGTCCGCATAACAATAAGATCATCATAGGCGTAACAACAGGTATTTTGAATACATCCTCAATAATCAAATACATAATATGAGTAAGGAAAGAAATGAGCCTTTTTTATATCTCGTGGAACAGTCTTGTAACATACCTAGGTGCTAAATGTATACCTAAGTACTCTTAAAAAAAAAGAAGTCCGGGATCTAGACAGAGTCTCCATATACCTATGTACATATCTAAACTAATAAATACTTATGGAGATCTTCAAGGCAGGAAAGAATGCAGCTTATATACCTAAGTACTCATTAAAAAAAAGAAGTCCGTGATCCGGATCTCGATGGAGTCGGCGACACTGTTAAACGTAACAAACATAACCTCATTACCTCACTCTTGTTAAAAACGGAACTGTATAAAATATAAATGTTCGACTTCAACCAACTTTTCGATCGTAAACGGTCGACGTACGATTAAAAAATTTACTG